TATTCAGAGAAGATATTGAACCTTAAGGACACCATCAATCTGAAACAAGAAGATGATCAAGTTCTGCTGCATCTCAAAATAGTTGCAGCTCTCTGTTGACATTTATATTTTCCATAGTAAAAATAAAAGGCAGGATTCTAATCACAGAAATGTCTCTCTACACAGCAGAAAATAGCTTGTTGGAAAATAAAGAACTAGAAAGAGAACTCATGTAATTTTAAATTTTAAGATATTTTCTCTAGTTCTGAATCAAACTAAACATGAAACTATATATAAAGGAATTTTCCCCCACATTTCAATTGCCTCAACATATATACAGGTTAATTCGGGTAGGTTAAAGATAGAAAATGATAAAAGCAAAACTATATCACTCTATAAACAGTGTCCTTGTGACCTCCCAAAAGATGAGGATTTACCAAATAAAATTCAAACAGTGCAAACCATAGAGGAAAAGACTGAAATACATGAATCTGGCTATTAAAACTTCTTACTTCAGATTATAAAAGTCAGTGTAAAGGAAATGAAAGATGATACTTTTTAATACATGTGACAAGCAAAGGATTAATCAGCATCTAAATTAAACAAAGCAAATTCCTGCAATTTACAAGAAATGAAAGAACAAACCAACTGAAAAAGAGGGGGAAAGTCTTAGTAGATTCTTTAGAGAAAGGAATTCTGAATAGCCAATAAAAGATGTCCAATCTGATTGGTAATCATGGAAATTAAAACCACAATGAGAGACCATTTATACATATTATGTCACCATAGCGAGAAAAACATTTGTTAATGCTGTGTGTTGGTGAGGATGTGGGCCAACCACATCATTAACATGGTACTTCTTGTTGGTACAAATTGGTATAATCACACTGAGAAACAAGTTGATGTTATCTATGTATACTTCTGTGATTCTTGTTTTGCATTTCTTTTCATAAGAAAAATAGTTAAATATTTATTTTGTCTTTCTATATGAATTATATTTCATATTAATGAAATAGCTGACAAGGAAAAGTTACTCTCTCTGGAGTAATTGTAGTTTAAAAATGCTAGATAAATGACAGAATTAGAAAATCACCCTTATGTAGCACTTAATAAAATTATTTATGTAGCCTTCCTTAATGGATGCTAAAAGCACTGGCCAAAACTTGATGGGGAGCCCAATGATGGAATGATTAGGCTGAGGCTACCTCAGGTGATCTAAAACTGGGTCAATAGGAAGTACAGTTTATGGGGAATAAGGAGTTAGAGATAGATTGTAACAAACAACATGAGAGTCATCAGTCAAGTTGAGAATGCGAGATGTTTGGGGATAAAGGTTTCTCTAGCAAATCAGTAGCACAGAGGATAAAAAGCAGGAGGGGAACATGTTGTAAAAAGGTTGAAGGCCATAGAATAAAAAACACAATCTTATTTAAATTTTGGTTAGTCAAATCCATTGTAAAAATTTGAGACAATCAATGAAATATGAACAAAGAGTAATTAGGCACTAGGTGACATTAATTAATTGTTTTGTTATACATGATAAGATCATGATGTTTCTTGTAAAATGTTATCAGATATAAAGACAGAAGTGTTTGCAAGTGAAATGGTATGCTTTAAATTTGTTTTTAATATAAACAAAGCTGTTAAGGTAACAATATCTAGTGTTTTTAATAAATTATTAGTTATGAGGGTGTTGATGGAGAGGAAGAGGTCTGGAATAGCATCTGAATTTTGCTTTCATTAATATATTTTTATGAATTAAATTTATTTTAACTGATGTATAAAGTACAATTGTACATATAATGGGAAAGCATGTGATATTTTGATATGCATACATTGTATTAAGCTTAAATATATAAAGTTTATAACTATTTCTTTGGCTATTTACCATTTCTTTCTGAAGAAAATATTCAAAGTACTTTCATATAGGCTTTTGAAATATACAGTGCACTACTGTAATCTGTAGTCACCCAACTGTGCAATTGTACAACAAAATTCTTATTTCTAATTCTAACTTAGTACCAATGCTCAATCTTTTCCAGACTTTAGTAACCACCATTCTACTTTCACCTTCTATGAAATCAATTTTTTCAGACTGCATATATGAGTGAGAGCATACAGTACTTGTCTTTCTGTGCCTGGCTTATTTCAATTATCATAATGATTTCCGGTTCCATGCATGTTGGCATAAGTGACAAGATTTCATATATTTGTGGATGAATGGTACTCTACTCTATATATGTAGCACATTTTCTTTATCTACTTACAGGCTGATAAACACTTCAGATATTTCCATCTCTTGCTCTTCTGAAGAGTGCTGCAATACACACTGGAGTGAAATGTCTCTTCAATATACTGATTTTATGTCCTTTGGATAAAGGATAAATATCCAGTAATGTTAGATCATATGGTAGTTCTATTTTAAAGTTTTTGAAGAACCTCCATACTGTTTTCCAAAACAGATGTATACTAATTTACATCTCTATCAACAGTGCACAAGTGTGGGCTTTTCCACATCCTCATCACATCCTGTTTATGTTGACAGCCTACAGAATCAATTGCTGATAGTGAAGGCAACTTTAGATAAGAAGAAAAGACATTGATGAAGTCAAGATATTGAAGAATGAGAAGAAGCAGGGCATGTTAAGAAGTAGAATAGGAGCCTATGGGAAAAAGTGGGTAGGTAGTACAGACCCTAAAGAGGAAATAAGGCAGTGCAAATGGAAGAACTGTAGTCTTTCCCTTCACAAATCCAGCCACTCTTATTGCAGTAAGATTGATATATTTTAAAATATTTTTAGTTGTAGATTGACACAATACCTTTATTATTTTTTTTTTATTTTTTATGTGGTATTGAGGATCAAACTCAGTACCTCGCACATGCTAGGTAAGCGCTCTGCCACTAAGTTACAATTCCAGTCCAAGGTTGATGTCTTGTGATTTTGATTTGCTTTTCCATGATGATTAGTGATGTTGAACATTTTTTTCATATACCTGTTAGCCATTTGTATTTCTTTTTTTGAGCCTATTTAGGTATATTGTCTATTTTAAAATTAGGTTGTTTTGTGCTATTATATTTTTAAAGTTCCCTCTATATGCTAGATATTAGACCTTTGTAGATATATGGTTACCTGTATTATTGGGGTCTTATTCAAAAAATGTTAGACTACTGCAATGCCCTGACACATTTCCTTTTTTTTTTCTAGTAGTTTTTATAGTTTCAAGTCCTAAATTTAAATCTTTAACCTGCTTAGAGTTGATTTTTATAACTGGTAAGAGATAAAGGGTTTGTTTAATTTTTCTTCTGCATGTGGATTATCCAATTTTCCAAGAATAATTCATTGAAAATACTACCCTTTCTCCAATGCATGTTCTTAGCATCTTTGGAAAAAAATCAATTGGCTATAGATGTGTGGGTTTACTTTGGGACTCTTCATTATGTTCCATTGGTCTATAAGTCTGTTTTAATGTCAATACTATGCTGGGTTGATGCTTTCAGTTTTAAAGGTGGCTCCATTTGCTAAGATAGGCTTTACAAAAGACACAGCAGGCTCCATGGCCTATAATGAGTTTAATTTTGAACTTAAACTTTAAGCACCCAGTGGAGTTTGAAAACCATATGTTATTAGGAGCAGCCATGCACATTTTTGTAAAGTTTCCAAAATTTTCCTTCAACACTGTCCCAGGGTACAGCTACAGGTTCAGTGAAGAAGTGATCTAGATCAATCTGCTTTGAGATGCAGTCACAGATACAGCCAAAGGACAAAAAGACATGGGCAGTGGAGATTATTGTATGAGAGAAGTTAAATAATGTGCTATACACTTAGGTTAGATAGGAAAGTAAGAAGTCCATTAAAGTGGTGATGTAACCCATCACACTTTAATGGACTTTTTACTTTCCTATCTAACCTAAGGTTAGCAAATCATTAGATAATAGCAAGAAGGATAAATAGAGTGTCACAGGGTTCTCAGAGTATACAAGTCTCAAACAAAGGGAGGGAGGGAGGGAAGAGAGAGAGAGAGAGAGAGAGAGAGAGAGAGAGAAGAGAAGAGAGAGAGAAGAGAGAAGAGAGAAGAGAGAAGAGAGAAGATGTGATGTAACCCATCACCACTTTAATGGACTTTTTACTTTCCTATCTAACCTAAGGTTAGCAAATCATTAGATAATAGCAAGAAGGATAAATAGAGTATCACAGGGTTCTCAGAGTATACAAGTCTCAAACAATGACCTGAATACAGTTTTGGGAGTGAAATGAGAATGCTGCTACTATTTTGGGTTTCTATGGTTAGGTAGAAATAGTTGAACAAAAAGCTTTTGCTTAAGTGCCATTTAGAAGGGGACAGAATGATCATTCTGTCAATGACTGACAGTGTAGAGTAGGTCCAGGCACCTGGGATGAGGAAGCCAGAGGAAAGGGTAAGGGCCTTCAGTTAAAAGAAAGTTAGGCTGCCCTCTTCCTCTTCTTTCTCTCCTCTCTCTGCTCTCTTTCTCACACTGTATACTCTCTTTCTCTTTCTCTCTGCTCTCTTACTCTGCTCTCTACTGTCTTTCTCTCCTTTTCTTCCCCTTCAGGCAGCCCCCCCCCAAGGGGGGGGGAAGTTAGATGTGAAGGAGCTCTAGAATAGAACTGTGATGAGAAAAACTAGTTGAGGTGGTCAGTGGTCTGCACTTTGGCTGCTGACCAAGAAAGTGGGATGATAACATATTTTGAGGCTTCTAGGCAGAATATCCCACATAGTGGTAAGAGACTTATGAAGCCAGAAATTTTTAGGCTCTTCTTAATGTATAAAATGAATGTTGCTGAGAATTGACTTACCTTGAATCTGAAGTGTTATCTTTTTCAGACTATTAAAGGGGGAAAATGTATCTATGCTCATTCCCCATTTTAGAATTTTTTAAAAGTTCATAGTCATCAAATTCCTTATATATGTACATTACCCTTCCAAGTACAATATAGAATATAAAAGCAAAATCCTTCATCCCTGCCACTGAAGATGCAAGGATTATGTATACAATGTACCTCAGATCTGTGGGCCTTGGAAGAAGTCTTCTTTTCCCATTAAAGTAGACTTCAAAATCTTGAGTCTTGAGTCTGTGGGCGTAGTCAATATATCCTGACACTTCTTGTCCATGAGAATTTTTATCACGAATGAAGATCACAGACTGGAAGAAAGAAAGAGAGAAAGAGAGAAAGAGAGGAAGGAAGGAAGGAAGGAAGGAAGGAAGGGAGGAGGGAGAAAGGGAGGGAGGGAGGGAAGAGAGAGAGAGAGAGAGAGAGAGAGAGAGAGAGAGAGAGAGAGAGAGAGAGAAGAGAGAAGAGAGAAGAGAGGAAGGAAAGGGAAAAGGAATAAAAGTCATTTGAGTACACTGCATATTATAACAGAAGCTACAGTTGCTGAGCATTGCATATGCCAGGCTCTGTTTCAAGTGCTTTATGCTTCATCTTTACAATGGTGTTAATGGATAGGTACTACTCTTTTCTCCCAACACTTGTAAAACTTAACTGAGTATGCACATAATGCACATTTATAGTAATTTTGTAAAGCAATATCAAAAATACACTTATAAAACTTTTACTAAGAAGACATTATTTCAAGTGTTTGAAATATATAAATTTATTTACTTTCTCTTCAGTATTATTATCTTCATTTTAGTCATTTCTTTACATAAAAAAACTGAGATGCTCAATGTTTCAGAGCTAGTAAATTGCAAAATGGAGATTCAAACTCAGGGTCACAGATTTGTCCTTCTAACTATTACATTTTTTTTCCATTTGAAATACTATAGATTTTCTGTTATCAAGGTGTAACAGAGAATAAAACGTATCATGAGAATAAAAATATCATTTTATAAAATAACTTCATAGGTCAATATTCCATAGTACGTTGTATTCTCTGAAATATTTCTCATTCATATTTGTTTCTTCACAAATATCATTGAGCACCTTCCACATGTCAGGCACTATTATAGGTGCCAAGATAGACAGAGTAATAAATAAAACTGACAAAGTCCAGACCTCCCGTATTTTGTTATGAGAATAAAAACAGAAAGAAAACTTCTGGTAAGTAATAAATGCAATTAAGTGATGAAGAAGGAGATCAGGGACAGATTGAGTTGGTAATGAAGGCAACTTTAGATAATGAGAAAAGACCATGAGGAGGGCAAGATGTTAAACCAAGACTGAAGAATGAAGAGAAGCAGGCCATGTAAAAAAATAGAATAGGAGCCCATGGGGAAAGGGGGATAGATAGTACAGACCCTAAAGAGAAAATTAGGGAGTGAAATGGCAGACCATAGTCTTTCCCCTTTTAAATCAACAGTCTTTTTTTTTTATCTCAAATTCAAAGAAAACAAGACCACCACCAACAACAACAAAAGGGAAAATAACCCTATTCTAACTGGAAAATTTCAGAATGCATTTATTTTCAAATTTAGAATGAATTATATAATTTCATGGTAAAGTTCTATATTTGGAAGAAACTATGAGACTCCTTTTTCTCCTCAGAAGTAACTGGGTTGTTTTGTGTTGGTTTTTTTGGGCAGTCAACTGTAGGAAAGACTAAAGTGGGTGATGTTAGGAAGCAAAGCTACCTACATAGTGAAGTTAGAAGACAGAAAATGTTCTTTTTTCCTACTGCAGCTACAGAAACATCTTATTAACAATATCCCCACTGAAAAATGACAGAATAGAGATACAATTTTCTGCTGATAGATTTCATGTTGCCTGTCTGGTTGTTTGGAATTGGGCACTGGAAATACTGTTCTGAGAAGGATTTTTTGAAGCAGGTCTGGGATATCAAGGGGACAATGTGTCACTTTCCATAGATTTTGCAGGAGTGGTTAGCATTCATTGTTATCCCTGTGTGCAATGCTGTACAGATTCCAATCCTTAGTCCTTGTTTTCCCCACATAACTCATGGTAAAGTAATTTAGATTTCCCTGTGCTTTTAGCCATTTATTTTTCAGTTTCTGCAGCACAATTTCTATATTAATAGTGATCCAAAGAGACTGCTTGGAACTCTCATACGATTAAATCAATAACTAACCCTGCTGTCCACATGAGAGTCCTAAAGGTGCTTGACCTCTTCTCACCAAGGATGAGAGAGAGAGAGAGGTGTGGGGGGGATGAGAGAAGAGAGAGAGAAAAAAAGAGAGAAAGAGAGAGAGAATGAATTATATAATTTCATGGCAAAGTTCTATATTTGGAAGAACCTATGAGACTCCTTTTTCTCCTCAGAAGTAACTGGGTTATGAGTTACATGAGCCCTATACTTCCAAAATGGAACTCCATTAACAGAAAAACTCTTCTTTCTCTCTCAATGAGAGATATATCAGCAGAATGGCAAAGTATATATTAAAACTACCTTTGTACTAAAAATGAATTAAATTTTGGATGAAACCTAAAAAAAAAAGCACCACCACCAACAAAAAACTTTTAAAGGACATTTATACCCTGGCAAGAAGACAAAGTAAAAAAAAATAAATAAATAAAGGTAGGAACCCTGAGAGAAGAGTAGAACCCTAAAGTTGGTTTTGTCCTGCAGGCATTTGTCCAACCTAAGGAAAATTTAAGAAAGGATTCCATGTCCTTGTGGTCATGAATTCCAGTCTTTCAGGTTCAGAGGCTTATAGGACTTATTGACTCAATATAAAACTGAGAAATCCAAAAAGATTGAAATAATGTCTTTGATGTACCCAGAGAAAATAAGAACCATCCCAGAATTGTACTCCCTGAGAAAACATCTTTCTAGTGAGTAAGATATTGACATTTTCAAATGAAAAAAAAATGTGAGAGACTTGACTAACAGAAGTCTCTGCTCAAAAAAAAATTCTGCAAGATATATTTCAGGAAGTGATTCCAGCTAGAAAAATCAAAGATAAAAGAATTAAAATTGAAGAAAGTTATGAGTATACAGGTAAATAGAAACAAATCTAAACAACATAAAACAATAATAATTACCTCTACAATAAGTTATGTCAAAAATTTTTGAAATAGTCATGTATGTTTGGAGTGAACAATTATGGTTAATGTGCTTGCTTGTCCTTGAATTCTTCAAAATGAGGGTACATACAGGAATTAACTTTAGAATCTGATAGAGATGTTTCTATACGTTTAAGACTATCATTAACAAACAGGATCAAATGTACAAGACCTTCCAATTATTAAAGAAAGATTCATTTGACAAAACATAATGAAATATAAGAAAGAAGAGGAAAAAATATAGAAGAGGCAGGACAAATAAAACACACAAAATTTATTGACAGTGTTATAGGATGCATTTTGTCCTCTCCAAATTTATATGTTTTAGACCTAACCACCAGTACTTCAGTGCATGATTTTATTTGGAGATAGAGTATTTAAAGATGTGAGTAAGCTAGAATGAGTCTGTTGGCATGGGCCCTATTCCAATCTAACTGGTGTCCTCTTAAGAGAAAATTTGGACGCAGATAGCAGGGTTCATGTGCTCAGAGAAAACCACTATGTGAAGTTCCAGCAAGAGGGCCATCTGAAGTTTAGGAGAGAGGCCTAAGAAAAAACCAAACTGCCAAAACCCGGATCTACTTGAACTTCTAGTTTCCAGAACTGTGAGAAAATAAAGTTATGTTGCTTAAGCCAAATAGTCTGTGGTATTTTATTGTGGTAGACTTTGAAAGCTACTGTTGATAGGAATAAGTTAAAATAATTAAGTAATTACAATAACTATTAATGATCAAATGTTTAAGTTAAAAATAAAGGTGTGGGAAATATGACAAAAAAAATAAAAGCACTAAAAAGCTGAAAGTTGAATGATCAAAGGATGTCTATGTGAATTTCCATCTCAAAGAGAGCTGCTATCAGTATTTTAATGTTAGACAAAAAGTACTTTAATGCAAAAAGCATTACTAGAGATGAAGATTCACTACAGAATGATAAAAGATTAAGTTCATAAAAATATATAACAATTCTGAACTTGAATGAGGCTTTGAAAACCAAACCTCAAAGTATTTAAAGCAAAAGAGACATATCTACAAGGATAAATAGAAAAGTCATCATCAGTATGGTAAATTCCTCGCTCTTATTAATTTCTAGGATATGCAGGGAATAAATGCATACATATTATAATATTAATATAGATTTTAAAGAATTGAAAACACAAGCCTGAACACATGGAGTTTATCTTAGGTAACTACCTAAACATCTTTTCTCTTCCATGTTCTTATGGATGAAATGACTGACGAACTAAAATTATATACATTTCACTATTTATAATTTCATGATTACATTATTATGTATACAAAGCTCCCTTTCTATGCAAATCTTATTAAATGTATTTCCAATCTTCTGCTCCAGTTCTGAGTGTTAAGGGATTATTATGTGGGTTTTGTGTGTGTGTGTGTGAATATTTGGGTTTTCTGATGCTAGAGAATTTCAAGTGAGGCCAAAATGAGTAAAAATGTTGAGTTCCTCTAGGTTCACTATACATCTTGGGGCAAGTCAATCAAACTTCTAATACATTTCCTCTACTTATAAGTTCTATGCCCTGCAGGCATGGCCCAAGGGACCCAAGATACTGCTGACAGACCAGGCTACTGAAAAATTCAACAAGTTTCAATCATAAATAGAACAAAGCAAAACAAAAAAATAAACCACCAAAATTTGGCTTGGACTCAAGAATTTAGTTAACCAATTTTGCATATTCTTCCTTCTTTCTGTTCCTCACTAAACCCAATAGAGAAACAAAATGAGCCCTTCCTTTTGTCTCCATGGAATTGCTTAACTCAAATTCAGATGCTATCAGGGTCTTATCTTCTATCTCATACTGTTTCTTTCTCAATTGGAATTCTGGTGTTAAACCATAGTACCTTGTTTCTTTTATTTTCAATAGGAAAAGATACTTCAAGTGAAATTTTTTTATAATTCTAAACCAAGAAAAGATAATCAATCACATGGATTCCTTTTCACACAAATTTGTACAGGGCAAATAAATTTGTCTTTCCAAGAATGTGAACACAAATGTATAAGTATACTTTAAAAGATATTTTTAGTGAAATAAATAAATGTTGGTGTTATGGTTTAAATATGAGGTGTTCCCCCTGAAAAAATTTCTGTGTTGAGCAAATATTCAGAGTTGAAGATATTAGATTATAAGAGTTATAATCTTATTAGTGGATTAATCCATTTG